TGAAAAAATGACTTTTAACATTTAATCAGCATTTCCGTTCTATAGCTAGCAATGAAGTTTGTTTATCAATTTGCACGCGCTCGCCGTTACTATGACGTTGAATGTCGTAAGGGAACGATTTATGGGTACTCTAGGATACGTAGTGAAATGACACCATGAAACGCGACCAATCATCAACGTCGCGTAAATTACAACAACCAATGAAAAAATGACGGGATGCAATAAATTTTTATTAAAATATAGCGCTCGCTAAACTTCGTAAACACATGGTGCATTGCATCATGGGAGTCGGCCATAACTAAAACAATACATGTAGGTACCACGAGGTCCTAATATTAAAGTAAAACAAGTATAAACAGTGGAATTCAGGTAATTAGGCATGTATAAAACTAGTCTTTACTTAGTGGACAAATTATTTCACACACCATTTATACTGTAATGACAAAACGATCAAAATACGCATCATAAAACAAACAGCGCCGAATCAAACTTTAGGGGGCGATGTCAAAAGCGTAAATTATGTACAAGTACATACTAGTATGAGTATCAACAATAAATACATACGTAGCTATATTCTTACAATATCTTTCTTTTTTAATATATTTATGATGCAGTAGTTCTTTTGTATAAAAGGGTGTGCTCCCTTGACAGAGACTAATAAGGCCTAGAAAAAAAATATGTTTGTTCCGCTTTCATGCTGAAAAAATTAGGCTAGGTAGGTCGGCATTTTTTTTTTAATTTTTCTTTTACTTACTTCTTTAATCAAAACATCTATAGAAGTAACACCAATGACAAAAAAAAATGGTGCTTTCAAGCATTTCTGTGACTAAAATTTATAGTGGAATTTTCATACATAACAAGAACCAACCTAGACCCATACTTTAGGGAGACTTCCCTTCTCACAAAAAATTAGGGAGAAGTTTAAAAAATCAGGAAGACTTAATATTTCTACGATAAACCACTTACAAACCCCCTCTTCAATTTTTAAATATAATTTATATAATATGTTTAAATATGAATTTAAATTTTGTAATTAATCTCTTATTCAAATCTATCTAGAGAAAAATCAATATTCAAACTATTGAATATTCATAATTGTTTAGTGTTATTACATTCATGATTGATTAAAAAAAATTAGTGGACATATTTGGGTTGGGTGTTCTGAAATGTTTATGTGTACTTTATATAGTAAATTAAGTAAAACAAATGAATAAAAATATTCTCTTGATTAGGCGTATGTTATTGAAAGAATAATTGCCTTGAACTTGAACTTTATTCTCATAACTGACAAAACAGTGAGAAGATATGTACAGTATAATAAACAGAAAATATTACATGCCTGAAGAAAGGGTAACAGAGTATGTCAACCAAGAGAGCCAACTCTCTCAATTATAATATCTAACAATTTACAAATTTTGCTAGGTTGATTAGTATTGGTTACATTGAAAAGCATTTTAAATTTCAAAAAATTTGGATTCAAATGAAAATATTTTGACAAATACATAACTCTTGAGTTCTTTATAGACACATCAGTACATTTAAATAAGTAATGAAATTCATCCCCAATTTCGTTGCTGTTACATAATTTACAAATTCTATTTTCTCTAGGGATGTTAAACCATCTACCAGTCTCAATTGGTAATTTTGTATTCCCAGTTCTAAATAAACAATATTTCTTGGATTGTTTAGGAGGCAACTTCAACAAATAGTCTTCAAAGATTAATGATTTTTTAAAAATTCTATAGTTCAAACCTTTAGGGGAAGTTTGTACATCACTAAACCATGTTTGCTTAAATTGATCTAAGAGAGTGGTATATACCTTATTTTTTAGCCAAGATATATTAATTGAATTTTCATACCACACATAAGTCAATCCACATTCATTTAAAATTTTCTGAACAAAATCACACCATGGATTCTTACATATTTTCAATGCACATAAAAGTTTTGCAGACAATTTAGAGCTCTGAGCATTAATAAGTTTACCCCAAAATGAGATCATTCTAACTTTGATATCAATTAATAAAGAGTGTCTACCAAGTTCTCCGTGCACCATAAAGTTTCAAGCTCAGAATATGTTTACAAAATTTTAGGTGGAATTTCTCTATTAGTTTAGTATTGTGAAAACCCTACATTTCACATCCATATAGAAGTAATGGTTTGATAATTTTATCAAACATGTCTAATTTACAATCCATTGATAAGTTATGTTTTCTACATCTAACAATAACACTATACATTGCTTTTAGTAGCTTTGTCATATAATTCTTTGGTATTTAAATTGAAAGAATTACTTTTACAAAATGTAACACCTAAATATTTAAAGTTGTCAACTATATCAAGCTTGGAGCCTTCAAATGTAAAAGAGCTATTGTATTTACCTCTACCAAATATTACAACTTTTGTTTTCTTACTATTAACCTTAAGGTGCCATTTCTTGCAATATTTAGAAAACGTATTTAGCATGTACTGAAAATCATCTGCGTTTTCTGATAACAAAATAGTATCCTCTGCATATAATAAAACAAAAAGCTGTAAGTAGAGATTTAGTTCTCTCTCGAGTTTTTCTGACAAACAAGATAAACCCTTAGCTTTGTTTCCAGATAAAAATTCCTCAAGGTCATTCAAGTACAATGAAAATATTAATGGTGACAAATTCTCTCCTTGCCGAACTCCTATACTACATTTAAACATTTCTGAACTTATTCCATTAACTACTACTTTTGATTTAATACCTTTATACATGTTGGTTATAATCTTAAAACATTTTCCATCAATATTATTTTGTAAAACTTTATTCCATAGTCCGACATGCCAAACCGAATCAAATGCTTTCTCAGAATCTTTAAATGCACAGTACAATTTCATTTTATGTCTTTTAAAAAGTTATACAAGAGAATATAATGAAAAAAATATGATCTATTGTACCCATACCTCTACGAAAGCCTGCTTGATTTTCTAAAATGAGTTGTACATTATCAGCATATGAGTTTAAGCTTTCATTAATAATTGCAGTAAATAATTTTCCTAGACAACTCAGCAGTGTGATAGGTCTATAATTCTTAGGATCAGTATTGTCCCCTTTATTTTTGTATACTGGGATTATGTTTCCACAAGCCCACTGAGTGGGTATTACACCAGAGTCAAGAATTTTGTTGAAGAATTCAGTGTATAAATTCAGCATGCAGTCGCATGAATTTTTAATATATTTATTAAAGATTCTATCATCACCACAAGCCTTGTTATTTTTCAACATATTAATACTGTTGCGCACTTCATCATGTGTTATTTGTTGGTTAATTTCATGATTGAGCTGAACATCAGCTAAAATATCAAGCTCTTCTTGTGTTAATACTGTGGGCTCTCACTCTTGTTCATTAAAATTTTCATTACAGCATTCTTTATAATATGTAAAAAGGTCATTCAAATCAGCATTACATCTTTGCTTATTGCATTTTGTGTTCAGGATTTTCCAGTATTCTTTGGGGTTTTTTGTTCTTAAATTAGTGAGTTTCTTTTTCATTTCTACTCTATGTTTAATGTTAGTATTTTTTAATTTATTCTTATATTTTTTTTTCCTTTTCATACAGGTCAGCTTTAAAAATTTCCCCTCCAAATTTTTTATACAACCTTTTTGCTTTCCTAAAGTTTTGTCGAGCATTTTTACAATCTTTTATGAACCAAGGTTTCTTATATTTAATTTTTTTTTCTTACATGTATTTGTATAAAATGTTTTCTTGCCAAAGGTCTCTTTAGCACTTGATACTAATATGTCACTTATTCTTTCGACAACGTTATCTATAAAATCTGATGTGACATTTCCTGCTATAGTGTTCCTGATTTCATGTTCTAATAGTGTGATAGCATTTATTTTGTCTTTTATAAAGTTATGAAATGTTTCTTGCTTCTCAGAAATCTCAGCAATCTCTTGTATTTGTTTTTGTGGGTTATTTAATTTAGAAACATATTCTTTTTCAAAGGCTAGTAAAACCTCCATAGGATTATGAACATCAGATAATAGGGTAGAGAATGTTAATATTCTAAAATCAGAAACATATCTTAAAAATTCAAAATGTGAATACAATAGTCTACAACACTAGTTTGTTTACATGTACATTCACCGTTGGGTCACCCTTGGATCTACCATTGAGAATAAAAATATAACAATGTTTGCAAATATCAATAAGTTTTTTCCCATACTGGTTTATAATCATATCTCTTGAATTTCTTACCATTGAAAAACCTTATTTTTCAAGACATCTTATATCGATTTGATCAACAGCCCAATTAAAATCAGTATCAGACACACGATCATGGGTTTGAACAAAAGGTTCATCACAATCATTAAATTCTTTGAGAGTTGAGACTCTACAGTTAAAGTCACCAAGTAAGCAAATACATTTATTCTCTGTAGATATATTAAAAATTTCATTTTCGATATCTTCAAATATTTCACTAGATGAAAATCTGGAGTATACAGGTGGTATATAGACTGTACCTATTAATAAATGGTCATCGATCCCAAATGTTTTACCTTCTATTCGGACCCAAAGTACATTGTCACATTCATTATTAATAATATTACAGGTTTTGGCAATTGAATTTCTAATATACACAACTATTCCATCAGATTTCCGAAATGACAAGTTTGTTCTATGCTTACAAAATGCACTAAAATTAGGAATGTCGATTATGTCAGCTTTATCTGTTCTTGTTTCTGTAAGGCACACTATATCATATTTATTTATAAAATCAAGAAAATCAGGAGATTGGAGTTTTGAATTTAACCCACATGCATTAATGGATATCAATCTTACTCTAGATGCGTCTTTTGGTTTGAGAGAGTTACTTGAAGAGTTTTTACTTTCATTTTCTATTATTTGTTGTTGCTCTCCGTGGTTTACCTACATAGGGAACGTTATCGGAACCTGGATCAGCCACAGATCTATCTGCTGGTGGAAAGACTTGTTTACCTTCTACGAAAAGTTTGTCCACAATCATCACAGCCTTCTTTCCAAGTTTTTTTTTGCTTTTTTGTAGTGAGGGTATAGGACTTTCCTGCGCTCGTTAATTTCCTTGGGGAATTGCTCATTAACTCCAAATGCTTTTCCCTCTAAGGTTGATGGGGCGGCCTTTCTTATTTTTTCTCTTTCTTTATGCAGCACGAACTTTGCGACGGTTGGTCTGTGTTTATCCGTTAATCTCTTCCCTATTCGGTGTACCCTATGGAACTGTGGAGCTTCTGTGATATTCATTTCTGAGCTTATGAACTCTTTCAGTACCTCCTCTGTATTTTCGTCTTGTGTCTCCGGTATACCACTGAATATGAGATTGTCTCTCATAGATCTAGTTTGTAGATCTAAATGGCGTTCGTTCAAATCCTCGAATTTATTCCTCACTATTTCTAATTCATTCAAGATGACTTCATTTTCATTTCTTATGTTACTTACAGATTTTTTCATTTCTTTAACTTCCCTCGTTTGGTCATCGTATTGTTTACTGATATGTGTCACACACTCCTCTACACCGTTAACCTTGACCTTCATCTCTTTTAACTCTGTGTTGACATTTACGGCATTTCGTTCCAGTTCATTGAGTCTCTTTTCAATGTGGTCTAATTTGTTTAGCTTAGTTGATACTTGTTCTAATTTATTCGACATAATTTTCAAAGTCTCAAGAATATCAACATGCTGATACTGCTAATGCTGTTGTTGAGGGTTTGGTATTGGTGATAAATACCCAGCAAAATGACTTTGTGGCCCAGGAGGCCCATAAGGAACGAATTGGTTTTCTTGAAAATTATTTCCTTGACAACTGCTCTGAAAGTTTACAGAAGGCGAGGGTGCCATTACCGTTGGTGTTGAATGCTGTGCATTGAGGCTGATACTGCTATTATTATTACTCGTTTGACTCTCCAAATCATGAATACTTGGAACAAACAATGACTGAGTATTACTCACGTGGACTTTCTGTTTCCTTTCACCGCTAGTGTTCACTGTTTTATTTTTTTCTTTTCCTCGGCATTTCTCAGTACTCTGTCTTAGATAAATTTCCACATACATAACTACACATTTAAACAACTAATCCAGGTAATCTCATGTATAAACCACGATGTATATTGTATTAAATTCCTGAAAACTTTCTCTGCTATTTTTTAAAGCTGCCTCCCTTCCTCACGCATGCGCAGTTACTTTTCCACGTGCGTCAGGCAGTATAAGAATTAATTTTTCCATGGTCTGAAACTAAGCGATCATTCTTAATGACTTAGATTTTGTGCAAGCTGATTTACATCGGAATTTGTTACCTGCATTTAAACAATTAAAGTTTGCAGAAGAAAGAAACATATAAGTGATGCAAAATAATGATGTGTTTAATTCCTTCAGTTTTTTGCATGCACATGTTTATTCTTTTCGATTCTTTGTAAGGATATGTCCGTGTAACATTTTTTCTGCGTTTCTAAACCGAAACGTTTAAACGCTAGATGGTACAATGTACAGGTAGACGAACAGGAGTTATCTTTCATAAACACGAGTTATCTTTAATAAGTGATTTATTCACTCGTACATGTGATAAAATATACGGAATGTAATAAAATATTCTTATATGATATTTATTTCACTGTCTATTTACAAATGGGTTATTATATATTAATTAAGTCCTATGCGTAAAAGTCGAAATTCAAGTCTATATTAACAATGTATTAATTTATTTCAATGAAGGGTGTTGCCATGGTTACTAAAAATAGAAATTTCTGTGAAATTCCTTTAAAACGCTACTCCTCCTACAGTTTTGGTCTGATTTCAATATAACTTGGCACACAACTAGACTGCACTATCATACATGATTCAGTGCATCGGTTTTTGATTTCGATGAATGGTGTTGCCATGGTTACTTAAAAATAGAAATTTCTGTGAAATTACTTTAAAACACTACTCCTGCTACAGTTTCAGTCTGCTTTTAATATAATTTGGCATATAAGAAGACTACACTAAGATACTTAGTTTAATGCATCGGTTTTTGATTTGAATGAAGGGTCTTGCCATAGTTACTAAAAATATAATTTTCTGTGAAATTCCTTTAAAGCACTACTCCTCCTACAGTTTAGGTCTTATTTCAATCTAATTTGGCACACAATTAGAATACACTACGATAAATAATATGTATTTCGGTTTATGATTTCAGTGAATTGTGTTGTCATGGTTACTAAAAATATAAATTTCTGTGAAATACTGTCAAAACACTACTCTTCCTACAGTTTTCGTTTGATTTCAATATAACTAGGCACAGAAGTAGACTACATTAAGATACATATTTCTATTTATTGTTGCATGTTGCAAAGTTTCAAATCCAAGTGCTACTTTTCCTTTGTCATACATACAGACCAGAAGAGCTACAGTATCATCAGAGACTTCTGGTCTTAATGAATGGTGTTGCCATGGTTACTAAAAATAGAAATTTCTACAGTTATTTCTACAGTTATGGTCTGATTTTAATATAACTTGGCACACAACTAGACTGCACTATCATACATGATTTAGTGCATCGGTTTTTGATTTCGATGAATGGTGTTGCCATGGTTTCTAAAAATAGAAATTTCTATGAAATTCCTTTCATACGCTACTCCTCCTACAGTTTTGGTCTGATTTCAATATAACTTGGCACACAAGTAGACTACACAAAGATACATAATTTAGTGCAACACTTTTTTTTATTTCAATGAAGGGTGTTGCCATGGTTACTAAAAATAGAAATTTCTGTGAAATTCCTTTAAAACGGTACTCCTCCTACAGTTTTGGTCTGATTTCAGTATAACGTGGCACTCAAGTAGACTACACTAAGATACATAATTTAGTGCATCGGTTTTTGATTTCGATGAAGGGTGTTGCCATGGTTACTGAAAATAGAAATTTCTGTGAAATTCCTTTAATACGGTACTCCTCCTTCAGTTTTGGTCTTATTTCAATCTAATTTGGCACACAATTAGAATACACTATGATACATAATACATATATTGGTTTTTGATTTCAGTGAATGATGTTGTCAAGGTTACTAAAAATAGAAATTTCTTTGACGCTACTCCTCCAACAGTTTTCGTTTGATTTCAATATAACTTAGCACAGAAGTAGACTACATTAAGTAACATAATTCAGTTTGCATGTTGCAAAGTTTCAAATCAAAGTGCTACTTTTCCTTTGTCATAGATACAGACCAGTAGAGCTACAGTCTCATCAGAGACTTCTGGTTTTAATGAATGGTGTTGCCATGGTTACTAAAAATAGAAATTTCTATGAAATTCCTTTAAAACACTACTCCTCCTACAGTTATGGTCTGATTTTAATATAACTTGGCACACAACTAGACTGCACTATCATACATAATTTAGTGCATAGTTATTTGATTTCGATTAACGGTGTTGCCATGGTTACTAAAAATAGAAATTTCTGTGAAATTCCTTTAAACCGCTACTCCTCCTACAGGTTTGGTCTGATTTCAATATAACTTGGCACACAACTAGACTGCACTATCATACATGATTTAGTGCATCGGTTTTTGATTTCGATGAATGGTGTTGCCATGGTTTCTAAAAATAGAAAGAAGACGGTATGGTTTTAGCTTTATTGTGCCCTAAAAATTTAATGTTTTCAAAAAGTTTGGAAACTGGCTTATATATTAGTTGAGTATATGACTGTAATAAATCAGGAAAAAATATAGCATGATGGAGTACCATTCTGGATATATGACGTCATTAATTTGATGCATTTCTCTATTTTAAACAGAAAAAGCCTCAAAATGACCCATTTCAATGGTTATTATCCTTAAGAAAATAGTGTCCACAGCCGTCGCCCACGTTAATTTTTAGATATGTTTTGTAAAATTCTTTGAAAAATCACATATCTCAAAATCTTTGTGGGCGATGCCTGTGGACAATATTATCTGAAAGAAAATTTCATTGAAAATTGATGTCTTCTGCAACTTTTTGAGAAATATGGGAAAATGCACAAGTTTATGACGTCACAATTAGCATTTGGAAAGTCATGTGAGAAAAAAGATTTGTATGATCTTTCTGCATGGAATTTCAATAATTCAAAAAGCTTTGATTTTTACATCACTTTTATTTTTTAGAAAAACACAGGGCAAGATTTGTATTGAAACCGTACCTTGTTCTTTCTGTGAAATTCCTTTCATACTCTACTCCTCCTACAGTTTTGGTCTGATTTCAATATAACTTGGCACACAAGTAGACTACACAAAGATACATAATTAAGTGCATCGCTTTTTTTTTATTTCAATGAAGGGTGTTGCCATGGTTACTAAAAATAGAAATTTCTGTGAAATTCCTTTAAAACGGTACTCCTCCTACAGTTTTGGTCTGATTTCAGTATAACGTGGCACTCAAGAAGACTACACTAAGATACATAATTTAGTGCATCGGTTTTTGATTTCGATGAAGGGTGTTGCCATGGTTACTGAAAATAGAAATTTCTGTGAAATTCCTTTAATACGGTACTCCTCCTTCAGTTTTGGTCTTATTTCAATCTAATTTGGCACACAATTAGAATACACTATGATACATAATACATATATTGGTTTTTGATTTCAGTGAATGGTGTTGTCACGGTTACTAAAAATAGAAATTTCTTTGACGCTACGCCTCCAACAGTTTTCGTTTGATTTCAATATAACTTAGCACAGAAGTAGACTACATTAAGATACATAATTCAATTTGCATGTTGCAAAGTTTCAAATCCAAGTGCTACTTTTCCTTTGTCATACGTACAGACCAGTAGAGCCACAATCTCATCAGAGACTTCTGGTTCACCATGTCTCAAAAAAAAAAAAAAAAAAAAAAAAAAAAAAAAAAAAATTTCCACGTGTGAAATTTCAGTCACCTATGTTACCGTATTATACGTTGAAATTTACTTATAAGAAAATATGATTATACACAAGCATGATATATGTTACTGAATCATTACAAGATAAAATTATTTTTCATATGAGTGCACTACAGATAATTATAACCAAGCTAAATTATTTTTGTATTAGTACGGATTAATTTTTATCACGCTGGTATATATGCGGTAAACATGAAAAGACCGAAGTTATTTTGCTGGTCGCCACGATTGCCAAACAAGGTGTACAAGTTATACATAAGGACTAGTAACTAAATGTCAATCAATTTCATGGACCCAATGATGGACCTTATTTCACTTCATTGACGGGGATACACAGATCAGGTAAATCTGAAGGCGGTGCTTCTTATCTCGAGCTATAAGTCGCGTTAAGCACGTGGAATACGATATATTTTTGGATCACATGTAATTCCATAATTTAAAGATTAATCAATTTTTCATTCCACTCAAGTTGTAAGTTAGAATTTTCTTCTTTTTTTTTTAAGGAAGCTCTAAACACTGCACACTAAAAAGTTCTATTTGTAGGTTAGTTTTATTGAGTTAGAGTGATCTGCCCTAAGAAGAAAAATAGTATAAATGGAAATCTACAGTTAATGACACAATTTCTTATGAATTAAAGTATTCTTCATGTTATGTTAGATTAAGTAATTGAATACATTCTTCCCATTAATTTTCGATGCAAGTAAACAACAGTGATTTCTGTTCACAAATAGTTCATTGTCTTTGAACATTTTTTGTGCAGAAATAAG